AGTAATGAAATGAGAGTAGAATGCAATACCGAAAGCGGAAAACAATGAATATTTACCTGTTTTAGTTATCGTCATAATGACGGAACTGGCCGGCATTATGTTCAAGGTATATCACAGTCCAGACTGCACCTCTTTGTTGCAGCTCGCTAATGTAACGGTGCTTGAAAAATGATATGGAAAGCACTTTTCGTCTATTTGGAAGCGAGCGGCTTATGGATTCAGTAGTAAATCTCCCAAAACCTTCGAATTCTCGATGGGTTCCAAGCGAATTCCAATAAAGCTGAATGACATTTATTGTGACTGTACTTGGTCAGGATGCCGACGTATATCTAGCGATGAAATTGACGGAACTTGGTAGTTAAGGGACACATTAATATTACGCACGCTCACCATCCCCTGGGGAGTCGCACTTTCTGAACGGAGGAACATCTAGTCATATCTGCATCCGTTTATCGGTATTCCTCACTTAGAGCATGCTTATGACTCACAACCTAAAGCAACCCTTAGTCCATTAAGTGCTGGCTTGCAAGATTTTAGTTCCGGGGTCAATCATTCATTTCCCAAGCTCATCTGCAAGTTGGCTCTTCGTGCTTCAAACGTACCGTAGGTTTCCGTTCCAATGATAGCTCAAAGGAGTCAATGGTTCCGATTCAGCCAACTAGAGATCTGTAACCCTTCTGCCGGTGCTTCTAAACGTCATGAAAGCAAGCGTTGCCAAGTTGCTAGCGACTAACTTAGAAGAAGAATTTGCCTACTCTGCAAAGGAACTACACAGCTTTCGACGAAATCGATCGTGTACTGCCAAGCTACTGCATGCTCGATCCAGCTGCAACGAAGCAGAAGACAGGATGCAGGAGTTGGTGTATTTTATCTCGACTTATAGTAACACATCACAGCACTTTATCAGACCTCATCACGATCACTGATTGGTCGTTTCTAGCTGAACAACCCCTGATGTCGCTTAAGGTCCGGGTCTTCAACCATTTAAGCAACCTAGTGAAAAACATTAGAGACTCAGATCCTTAGCTCGAGAACGTAGAGCCCTTCCTGAGAACCAGGATGTCGAAACGCGTAACCCTAAGAGATTAACATTAGAAAGCATACAAAGCCGATCTAAGCGTCGTAAACTGGAATGCCTGCATAAACGAACAGAACCATTGTGTCACGCTTGTTCTTGAGGACAAACTGAAACACCAGGGTGATTTGGTGAAGAAATGCTGCTGTAATCCTAAATTGCTTTACAGATATGTTAACGAACTTTTTAAGAGTGCACGGAGCCATTCCGCATCTAAACGTCGTCTGTGAGGAACTGCAAACTGCCCAAAAAGTGGTTAACCCTCGTAGACATCAGTTCGTTCGTACTTTCCATAATGCATTACCGTGTCGTACGATTTTCACATCGATCACGTCTCCTCCAGGACTTAGCCACCTATCTTTCCTTGCCGCGGATGTGCTGAAGCGACTGATGTCACTTCTCGAATAGAGCCCACATGGTCCTGCTAACATACGCACAAGTCATTGGATGTAGCCGCAATGAGCTCAGCTGAATCGTTATCACAGTTCTTTCCAGTGCTATCTCGACGAAATGCGGGGTTCGTCTATGTGGAAGCGTGGAATAATCCTCCCCATGTATTATTGTGACAATCGTCTTGTGCTTGCAAATTACTGCCCGGTTACCCTACTGCCTGTGCTTGATAATTGCATGGAATCTGTGGTTGCAAAACCACCTATAGAATCTTCAGAAAAGTGCAATATTATCGTGTAGGAGCAGCATGGATTCCGCCGAAACCGCTTATGTACGACGAAGTTTTTCATAACCCGTGCCAGCTGAATGGAATCCGTCGATGCTGTGGAGGAAGTCGAAGCCGCCTACGTTGATTTCTCGAAGGCATTTGATAGGCTGATTAACCGAATTATTCTTCAGAAGCTCCGCAGCAATGGAATATATGACCCTATCCTAGCTGGATGCATTTCTTCTTACTCCAACGACGCTTGAATGTGCATTTCGGAGCGACTTCTCCGATTTGATGGAGGTGTATTTTGGCGTCACTCATGGCTCGGCATTAGGACCACGGTTACTCCTTGTGTTCACAAACGATCTCTCGGGCGTGCTGAGGTCAAACTTTCTAACTTTTGCGGAAGACCTAAAGATTTCGTGAGCAATCGAAGTAGCCGACCACATAGAACTCTAAAGTGGTATCAGCTGAGCTTCCGAGTGGTCGACTCAGAGCATGTTTGAGTCCAATCTTAGTAAGCGTAGAATAATTGCAATGGACCACCAGAGCACCTACAAATATTGGCTAGGAAAACACGTTTTGCAGCACGCTTCTCGGATGCTCAAGACAGGTTGAGAAAGCAGTGAAAAAAGTTTGGCCAACACTTAGGCTTACTGCGGAGGGCCTTTAACCCGTTTGGTCCAAGTTTTTCATATACTAAACTCTTACATGAGACCATAGATGGAATACGCCATCTGGCTGTGGCAACCTTGGCGAAAACATGGTCTAACTGCTCTTGAGAATCCACCTCGGAAGGCGACAAAAAATGTTAAGGGATTACTCGACCTACCTTGCCGGTGGCCGAGTGGTATGCACGTCTGGTTTGCAACCACAAGGGTACTGGTTCGAATCCGCCTAGGGGTGGGCGTCCTCGCGGCATGCTCAGCACATACGCGACTGGTGGTGGTCGCGTGGCAGCGATGTGCCGTCACAGCGTACAGCTGGCGATTTATTATTTTATTTTTTATTATTACCTCTTTAGTTTAAACTAAAGAGTATAGAAGTTTGCAGTGGACATTATCGTCTTCTGTGTGGCGTCCTTTTATCGGTGTATCAGATACTCATACCCACTAAACAACTATGCTGAATCTTACTGAAAGCCATGACAATTCACTGTGTGACTACCATCCGAAGTTGGCCACACAGCACAGCCGAGTGGAATGCCACCGGAACTGTTTCTCCATTCCAGCTGTGGTACATTCTTCCTCTATTTCATTCCCGCTCCTAGCTTAGCTGAATTCGAAACTCGACTTGGGGACACATCACAGCACCTGCATTATGTGATTCAATCCAAGTTACTGGGACACAGGACGACGTAACGAAACTATGTGTAAACGTGAAATTTGAGATGAGTCCACCACTGCGTGTTTTTGTACATAAATGGTTGGTCTCACACTTTACCTACAGAAAATGTTAAGCGTGTGCACTTTTAGACGCGATAAGTCCATTGTTCCACTGAATACTTAAGATCCTTCGATCGGTTAAACCATCGCATCCCTTTTTCTGACTCCAGAGCGTCGGCATTGCTGATCCTCTCCTAGGTTTGATCAGAAGCGTTTTCCTACACCGCCGCCTGGTGGTAAAAGTGCATGGATCCTCGTCAAATCCCAACCATCTAGAGTGATAACAAGCACAATGATTGTTACGGAGGCTACCATTGCCTTTTAGATAGATGGATGATTTAACCCCCCTCAGAAGTTCGAACTGTCTGCTCTATGCTGAGCTCATCAACGCATATCGGTCAACACGCCAGATGATCCCACACTACTTCAAGCCGATCTGGAAAGGGTTTACGCGTGGTCAAACCAGAAGATACTTCGGTTCAATGGTGGAAAATATAAATTGGTACACTCACAGAACCAGCCAGTGTGCTTCTGTTATCTGAGAGGCCAAGAGCTTTGAATTTCTACCCTTAAGGAGGACCTGGCCGTCTGGATTCAGGCTGAACTTGGCTGTTCGGAGCAGACTTGTTAGGCACCAAAAAGGACATTCAGATTGTGGGTCACTTAATGAGTGCATTCGGACGCTTCAGCTCGTCAACTTTTAAGCGGCTTCTCGGTGCATACTGCGCGCATGGAATACGCAATATAGACCTGGTAGCCATGGCTGAGGAGAGATCTCACCGACGATGAGATAAGTTAACGTCACGCAAACAACGTCATTAAAGTTTCTAACATTTGCTCTACGAACCGAGGCTGAGAATGATCTGGGTATTCAGATGACGATACCGGCGATTGTGTGGAAGAAGTGTCCCGAGTTATTGTATTTTGAAGAATCAAAATCGCGTGTACCGTCTCATCTATTTGAGCTTAGCCATAATAGAAATCTGAGAGGACACCATCATAAGCTGGCAGAGCAGAACAGTCTTTAGGCATGCTGTCGGGATTTCTTTTCCATACTTGTTTCGTAAGCCTGGAATGCTATCCTGGAACCTGTCATTTGTGCCCCCATGTTGATAGGGTCCAAAGCCCGAGTTGACTGTGCAATCATCCCTGTGCACTATCTCACATGACTCACTTCCTATGGCCAAACCCATATCTGCTAAAGATTTCGCTGCCAGTCATCTCCAAGGATACTTCGTCTTTTCACTTCTTCCAAGTGTTCACCAAGAAGTTACACGACTTTTACAAACGTCCCATTTCTCATCCTTCCTTATGGATCAATGTTCTAAATTCGGATATCTTGGTACACCACCGGTATGGACTTAGTCTTACTGGAATATTTCCCATACTTTGCGATAGTTACACCGATGAACCTATGGGATCAGTTAAACTAACGTTCTACCCGTTGTTCCATCTACATTGCATCCTAGTCAATCTGGAGCCTGTGTGATAGGGGGACGGAACCGGGGTGAACAGATAGGTTCAACGAAACCACCAAATAGCCACTAGATGGTAAAAGCATCAGATTCGGTCATGAAAAGGAGCAGACACAGCGGTCTGTCAACGCCGCTTCATTGGTTCGTCGACGTTTGGATGCGCTTCAGTGGCTTGTTGAACTAAGTACGGTGGTGAATTTCGTCGAATTAAAAAGATTGCTTCAGTGAAGTAGAGAAACTATGCATAGCGAGGCAGCTTGAATGTGAAATGTGCTTATCTGTCTTTGTTAAATAACCTTTTTCCCTGAAGGACGGACTTTCAGTATTTTGCATTAAAAGGATGGCTTCTGTATTATTGTTCCTCTTCCTTAATCAATGGGAAATTTTGCAAGGGTATTTCTACTCACTTCTTTTCGATACTTTTGGAATTTTTCCAGTTGTTCTCGCTCTAGTGCTTCCTTCAGCTGCACCATTTGTGTTGCCTTGAAAATTTCCATCTGGAAAGAAAACGCAAACGATGCGCCTGCAATTTGGGGATATCGTGAATAATGTTGGAAGTTTGTGAGTAGGGTAAAGTTTATAGAAAGTGGAAGTCACGATTAAAATTCACGCACAATAATATGCCTCGACGGGGAGTCGAACCCCGGTCCACGAATTTCCGGTCCGCTGCTCTACCACTGAGCTACCGAGTGCTGACGATGAGGTGCGCAAATTTTTTAATACATGACTTCTGCTTGGTGCACGACGTATTGCCAATGGGCTCACAGTACCTTTCCCGATGTTGCAGATTGGCTCACTCACACGTCACTTCCCAATGGACCGAAGTACCTGTCCTTCAAATGTCCAAGGGGCGATGGTAGATTAATGTCGGAAGTTTGTGAGTAGGGTAAAGTTTGTAGAAAGTAGAAGTCACGATTAAAATTCACGCACAATAATATGCCTCGACTGGGAGTCGAACTCCAGTCCACGAATTTCCAGTCCGCTGCTCTACCACCTGAGCTACCGAGGGCTGACGATTAGATGCGCAAATTTTAACACATGACTTTTGCTTGGTGCGCGACGTGAATACCCAATTATCCGCAACATCCCAAAACGGTTTGACCGATAATGTCAACGCTAGCTGTAAAGGTTGATGGACGGTTAATGACAGGATTAATTCTCTTGTGGGGACAGTTGGGTACCTCGCAACCGTTTGGACCTGAAGGTTTCAATGGGAAATTTAAGCAATGTGAGGTCTAAGAATAATTAATTAGACGAATCACCCGAACCCCCTGGGATCCTGAACTCACTGTCTCCACTACCACACCAAAATAATCATCATTCTACGTGTTGGCTAGAATTGTGAAACACCTTACCTATTGTGCCCCGATACAAACTAGTCAGATTGTCGTAAAAAGGAATATAAGAAACAACTAAATTTTATTGGTGGCTCGTCATTAAGTGCTCGTTCTGTGCTAGCGCTGCGACGCGCAAGCTCAACTGGGACCGCGGTTCACTTTGAAGTAAAATCTCAGTTAATCCGGTGACTGGGACTGTATCTGGAGTAGATACATGTTAGAGGACGGTCGCTAGTAACAATGTGTTCCCCCAACAGTTTCGTGCTCGCTTACAGACTAAAGGCAGCGATATTATTGCGACTCGAACCTGGCACCTTGAGCTTACATGGACTATGGTTTTCGAGCGTCACGACAGGTGAATGTTAGCAATGATTTGCTGTGCTTCTAAATAGGGCGCAGGGTAAGTGAGACCCTTTTCCAGTTATACTAATCATCATACATGCTAACACTATATAAAACACCTGAGCCTGCTTGTACTCCCACGTGTAGGTCGCATCTCGGTGCTCTATATGCATCGTAACTAAAAACAAGATGAGCAGATACGTAGTTAAAACAATTCAAATCACGAATGGGTTTTTATGTACCCATGATGAGTGCTTTTACATCCGTTGCAAACCGGATTTGAATCCCTGCAAGGCTCGAATTCATGAGGTAAGGATTTGAGGAACTTGTGTGCAAGAGGTACTGGAGGTTGCAACTGGGTCTTAGTTCTGTACACAACAAAACAATATTTGGTTTCGGACGATGTCACGACAGCATTTCCCTATATATTCTCCAACAACGAATAGAAGTTACATGGACCCCGTCAAAAATGTTTTTGGCACGGTGGTCAACATTACCAATCTTTGCATCAGGTAAGGTTAAATCTGGTAACATATATCCTCCAGTCAAGAAAAACCAGAATAAAGCGATAACCTGCAGCGTAAATCTCATTGCAAGGGTAGCCATAGTAGATTGCTTAAGATAAAGAAAAAGAAATCAAAAACTGTCGTAAACTGCTTCAAATTTTACCAACATGGCCACACCAATAATACAATGTTGTACTTTGTGTGAGGTATAGATAGTTAGTGGTTAAAACGTTGTCCTTGTACTTAGCTATGAGCAAACCCACATGGGTCAATTATTGTACATGCAAATAGCCAGTCAGTGTGATGTATCAAAATCCCACATAAAACGGGTGAAACTGAAGAGAATGAAGAGGATTAGTAAGTGAAATCGCGGACTAACTCCGCATAATAGCTCATGCAAAACCCGAAAGGATAATGCATAATAAGAAGTGATAGCGAACACTTAATCAGCACATGGTGCGTCGTTTCTCTGAACTGTATTTATTTGATTTCATAACCACATTGTGAACTCAGGCGTGGGACTAATGTACTCCAAACTGCGCCTATGCCTTTGTTTCTTAGGTGTTTGACCAAAAGTAATACTCGAAGTAGTGGACACGTCTTCGTCCTTCCAGTTTGTCTTGAATTACAAAATATTACTGAATGCAAACTTAGCTGCGCCTATTTAATTGACGTCCTTCTGTACCGATCCATCCAGCGAAGAGCATCCCAGCGGGTGTTAACCAAGCACAGCATTTCAAATTCTACGTGCTCAAGAATAAAGCCGGGTACTCTTGATTAAGCAAGAGCTACAATGTTTCTGTACATTCGCATAGCCAATTCACCTAGTTGTTAGATATAAAAACTCACACTTAGACTAACCTTTTTATCTAATTCCAATTTTGACTGTCGCTGCAGCAACTCCTGATAACTGTGCACACGTTCATCAAACGCATTTCTGGATGCATTTACGTCGAGAAGGCGGCGAGTCTCGTAAGTATGCTCAATTTTGTCCAAGACCTCATCTGGAGAAAAGTATGGTCCAAATAAGAGAACTGCAACCTTCAAACGAAAGCGAATGTCAGATATTGCTAGGAATTCTCCCACACGACTTCAATATGTTGGAATACACTTGTAATCGACTGTGAATTCATAATTTCTGAAGGCTTTAGAACACAACTCGGCATTGTAAGGGCTAGGCATATATATATATATATAACACAGTTAGTGGTATAGATATTGTGCAATCGAAGCCATGGCGGGTAGGAAAATAAAGCCGGAATAAACAAAAACAACTTTGTTTTGTACAGTTTTTCAGCTACAGCATTTGATCATTTAAATCTTTCGTTTTCTCATAGGACGGAGCCGTCAGCGCAACATGCCTACTTACATGCCCGTCATCCATGTCGGCCTTAACTCGTGACTTCTAGTGCGTCTAATCAGACACTCCGCATCTTTGTGATCACAACCATTAGTTAAAGAGAACAGTCAGTTAAGGCCAATCGTAACGTGAGATGTTTACTTGCCTATTCTCCTAATTGTAGACTGTTCAGCACACCGCGTCCACCGCACGACGCTGAACGAGCATGCGCAATACGTGTCTAAGCCATCGTAGTTGATGCCGACGAGCCTCTCAAGCGAGTGGTTACCTCATTCCAAGACCTACTAACTTCCATATTGCTTACATGGTGCGGGCAAGACCAGCCCTGCAGGCGGCGGGGCTTGAAGACGGAAAGTAATGGTAGATCAATGGTACGAACGGACAAAGTCTGGTGTTCGAACAACAGTATAACGCGGACAGTCACACAATAAATCCGCACTTTGATGTAGAGACGGATGTCCTGGTGAAGCCACAAGTGTCAGTCTGAAGAGAGCGAGACGATCTTTTAAGATATGCATTAAAATCTCGTCTCCAACACCCTTACCAAAATTGACGCAGTTTCCGAGGTAGACAAAATGCTCCACAACTGCCAGTGTCTCGCCACCAAAGTTGAGTGCAAGCACAGGCGTCTGTCAGCCTTGAAAAAGGGCTTTGCATTTGGATGCTGAAACGTCTGTCATACTTTGATGTTACAATCATCAAGCGTTTAAGTGCAGATCGGACGGCTTGTGGTTCGTTACTCGGCAGATCAAAAACTACACTACGTGAGAGGAGTTCAGCATCAGTGTTCATCAACCTTCCAGAGCATTATTGCGGACATGCACAATAACAAAGTTAAAGAGGAATGGCGATAATAAAGGTAGATAAAAGCTCACAATAGACCTTAGCTCTGCCCGAGGTCACACCATACAGAGCAGGCAGTAGAAAAACGAGCTTCTCGGGGATGCCATGCTTCCATAGGGAGAAATAACATTTGCAAATATCATCTTTCAAGTCGGTATAATCCTCATGTACCTTAATGGATGCATTATCGGCTTTTACATTATCAACTGTAAATGTACCGATGGGTTACCATTAAAAACGTTAATATTACAAATGGGTAGCGAAATGAGGATGCACTGCCATAGATCGATCGAGCAACAATCCCAAAAAGCTGAACTAAGTCTTCGAGATTTGTATTCATTCGAAACGGAAATGATTTTCTAAAAATGTTTCTTCATAATTCGTTTCAATTGACGTAGGATTTTGTGTCCAAAGACTACAGATCAGGTATTGTGTGCCATATCTCGCATTTATATTCAAAGTTGGATGGAGTGAAGGTTCGCAGTGACCTTGGAAGTCGATGAAACAAAATCTCTGTTAGCAAAATCTTTCAAAACTGAGATATCTACAGTAGATAAGGTAAAACATGATGTTCGGCGAAATAGGCAACGGCCGATTTAAAGGCCCTGCCGGGTCGCGACAAACGGGAGTGCGTCGTCTTCTGGCTGATGCTCGCCGTACCCTGCGACGCATGTATGCATGCACTGCCGGCACTCTCAACCACTTCGCCAAATGCATTTGATATACACAGGTTTCAATCCATCGTCAATCCCACTTCGCGAGTGCGTTTGTCAGGTGTACCGTGAAAGGTCTCGTAACAAATAAACTGGCATCGCGACCCAACGATGAGCTACGTTACGACAGAGTAGCATTGTGCAGACATTTGAGGACAAAATTAATGTTTTCAGGCGAAAGGTAGACCAAAACTAGAGATCCCCACGAAACGGGTGCCTACTAGTAGGAAAGTGGCGTGCTTCTACTGCCGCATACCTATCCTCCATTGGAGTCAGCTGGCTTACTTAACTACAAGTTTAGGACTGATAAGTAGTGAGGATTTTGGCATAATTCAGCTAATTCATCATCGCCACTCCCAATCAGCAGGCTTAGGCCAGTCTGGAAAAGCACCAGACGCCGGCGTTTCGACCTTATGGGTCTCGTCAGTGGTGCGCCTCCTAGCGGACACCTGCCGGGTTCCGCCTCCATGACTTCAGGATGCCAGCAGCTAGTGCCACTTCGCCATAGGTGACAGCCGCGGATCTGCGTGATTGACAGTTGACTATGATATAGCCCGGCTCATCTTCCACTGCCATGCCAGTTACGAACTGTGAAGAGGACAATGGCTAGCCTCATGAGCTAGGACTTTCCGCATAGCGCCAATGTACAGCATAAGACTTAGAAGCCATACGGACAGATTTTATAGTACTGATGAGTAAATGGCATAACTGGCGTAACTAGCATGGTAGTGAAAGATGAGCCGGGCTATATCATAGTCAACAGTAAATCACGCAGGTCTGTGACCGTCACTCACGGCGAATTGGCACTAGCTGCTGGCGTCCTGAAGTCATGGGAGCGGAACCCGGCAGGGGTCGGCTGGGAGGCGCACCACTGACGAGACCAATGAGGTCGAAACGCCAGTGTCTGGTGCTTTTCCAGACTAGCCTAAGCCTGATGATTTGGAATGGCGAGGATGAATTAGCTGCATTACACGTTAAGGAGTACTTTGGATCCGTTAGGCTGTCAGAGTCAACTACTTCGGACCAGGACACCAATTTAAGCAACAACATTTGGATTACCACGGCGCAGTCTGAGCTATCTAAAGTCCTGGGAAAGGAGGCCAGGAAACTTCGTCATATAACATCCCGACTCGGACATATTATCAGATAAAGCAAAAGAAAGTACACCGAAGCCTAGCTGAAAAATGTAATTTTGCATATGAAGATGATATGTTATGTCGAAAATGTTAGTGAGTGTAATGCATCGCGTGAGGTGAAGCAGTCGCAGCAGTACAGTTGCCAGTAACAAATGCGAGAGTAATTTTGTTTAGAACTTAAGCGATTACACAATGCGCCAACGATCAATGAGTACCAGATGGTCTCATTAGATATTGTGAGAAGGAGTAAGGCATTCGTAAACGCGAAAGGGGCAAAATGGAAAAGTAAAATATCCAGATGTGGAGGTCAATCTAAAAATAAAAATAAATCGCCAGCTGTATGTCGTAACGGCGCTTCGCTGCAACGTGACACCACCAGTCGCGCATGGGTTGGGTATACCGCGTGGACGCACATCCCCGCGCGGATCCGAACCGGTGACCTTGTGATTGAAAGCCAGGCGTGCAGACCACTCGGCCACCGGTAAGTAACTGCATCCAGTGTTCGGAATGTATTGAGTGCAAGGTCGAAAAGGGACAACAGAATACAGAAAAAAAGAAAGTAGGTAAAACACAGCAGAGCCTCCAAACCGCCTGTAAATGACTTTAACGTCGAATGATGAAGGATGATTTCTGTCAGGTGTACCTATTAGATAGATCACTGCGTTTAGCAATTGCAGGCCCCAAAACTGGATGTATATTTAAAGAAAGTGCCCCAGGAAATACAGGTATCAAATTAAGTGACATGAGAAAGAAATGTCACTGATTCCACATTTACCCAGCTACAGTTTACCTGCACAAGTGGTGGTAAACGCATTTATCGAACTAAGCAATGACTGTTACCAGCATTTTCCCAGGAGGTTAGCAGCAGGAGGCTCCACATTCCCTATCCGTTCAGTCATTCTGCACCCTATCGATTTCACCTAGCGCCGGAGGCATCTTGTGTCATTCACGGATAACAGTACGCGGTCCGTTTTGATTTCCTGAGGCTTACTCCGGCAGGCGACTGGTATCAAACCGATCTATACAAGCTGACTTCGAGATTTTTTTCGTGATAATGGTTATGTACTGTCACTAGCGACAGGGACCGCGGCTGTCCCGATGCTCTACCGGTTATTATTATCTATTCATCGTCGTTGCTACTAAGTTAACTATGCTGCTTAAATGTATTGGAGTGGTTGAATGGGAAGGCGCAAAGTTAGCTGAGTCTATAAGATTCCATTTAAGCTTTTCTTCCTTTTTCCATGTCGAAGAAATGGATGGTGTTAGGAAGATTGCTCTGCAAGCATACAGTGAAATCTCTCTAGTTAGCCCCTTATGTTTCCTGATCACCACGCTAAGTAGACCGTTTTTATTCCTTGTTAGAACATTTACCATGTAAACCGTATGGAACCAGACCTCTGAATGTTGAGCACCTCTCTATGTTAACCACTTCGGTCCAGTCTTTTGAGCGGTCAAATTGCGGAGATTTTACTGTCTTGCTGTAAAACATTTGAACACAACTACCTCAGAATGAAGTACAAAATGATGGACCTCCGAACAATACAGCGGTTCGTGGTGACGGCGAAAATTTTTCCACCTAGAACTGTTTACAGTGGTGTATTTCAAAGAAAAGTCATCAGAAAATAATCAAGTGAAAGTTGGCTAGTAGATTGGAATATAACGCTAGCTGACAGTTCGCGGTAATTTAGTAGAGATTGTCATGTGTCAAAGTTGATAGAAAAGCTTTCATTTGATGTGCTTTTCAAATGAAGCAATGGCACTACTTAAGTTACGAAGCAGGACATACTGCCTAGGTTAGATCTTCAATTACAATAAGAATTGAGTACCCTTTCAAATATCGGTGTAAACACTGTGTAGTGATAAAAACAATTCGTAGATGAACGAAAAGCGTTTTTGCTGAGTCTGATCAACTCATTCTTCTCTAAACCACCAGCCAACCCTTATCTAACCAT